CAGAAAGCCGAGAGGAAGCAAGACAAAAAAAAAAGGGAAAGAAGAGGTACCTTCTTAATGCTAATGTAAAGCACTGCAACACCAGAATTCACCTCAAGGAAAAGCTCTCACAGAAATCCCCTTTCCAATCTCCTCACAGCTAAAACTTCTACTCTCCTTTTTTTTGTAAACTTTCAACAACCCCAAAATTCCAAAAGAAACTATGTTTATTCTCACAGAAATTCCCTTTCTAATCTCCTCACAGCCAAAATTTCTACTCCCCTCTCTTGCAAATTTTCTTCAACAACCTCAAAAATCTTCAAAAAAACTGTGTTTATAGGCAGAGAATAGAGGAGAAGAGAAAGAAGACCACCCTTATCGACTATGGCACTCGAATCGGGCCAAAAAAAAAAGGACGCGCTCCCTGCTCACAGAAGGCGAAACCACCGAAACATCTCGGACCGAGCGGCCAACCCAGTAGCAGCGAGGGAAGCATCGAGAAGAAGAGAGTTTGTCATTCAAGTGTACCAGGGAGCAAGCTTCCCAGAGTCAAACTACCAAGAAAACGACCACAACTTAGGGAGACTGACACGGCTTCGGGAAGGAAGGCCGCGGGCAGAAAGTGTCGGGCAAGGACGAATGAGAAGTCAACTTTCTCTCGCGTGGAGGAGGAGGAGCTCGGTTGACTCGAGACCGAGAAAGAGAAAGGCCAGACACGCGAACGGGAGAGGGAAGGGAGGCAGAGCTCGGGTGCGTGCGTTTAGGGATTTAGTGTTTAAAGAGGAAAGGGGGAATTGGTTTTATATAAATTAATCGTAACAAAATGAGTGTCCTCCCTGGGCAAAATCGACGCTCCGGACGTGTCGGTGCAGTCTGTTTTGTCATCCGGGGTCGCTCGGACGACGTCGTCGACAATCGGGTAAAAAAAAACGCGTCAAAATTCAAATTCCACAAAATTTCGACCTAAAATTTCGACCCAGTGATCGATCGTCTCAAAAAGTTTATTCGAGTCTTCGACAGGTAACAGTGCAAGCAATGTGAATTGTGGCGATCGGACGTGTCGACTCTCCGAATTGCGAAGTTTTGTGCGCGGTAGTGCGAATTGTGCAAAAGGCCACCCTAAAGCTCTAAAGGTCTTATAGGAATCCCTTTTGGGTTCCTCATGTTGGTTTCATCATTCTAAGTGCTAGAAGTTGATACCACACACGCGAAATCACGAAAGAGTACATAAGTGGGTTAAATTTCTAAAACGAGGCGGGGCCCATTTCTAAGGGTCTAAGATAGTCAAATGGAGATCCCTAAGGCTAGATCCTAAACCCTAAGAGGAAGACTAGACCTCACTAAAAATGAGGTCAACAGTGGGTTGGAGGATCCAGTTAACGCTGTTCTGAAATTCATTTTATTGTAAACTTTTTCTAATATGACTTGTGAACTCTCTTCTAAATTAGGTATTTTTATTTTATTTTCTTTTTTTTGGCAATGTTTTTTAATATGATTTGTAAAATATTGTTCCAGAGCGACAAGGATTTTTTTTCCAGCAGTCCAAGTGATGGCTCTCCTGCTACCTTATTGGATTCGCCAGGCAAAAAACTACGCATTTCCATAGCGTCCGAAGATTCTCAGAATCTACCATATTTTGAAGGACCAGATCTAAGAAATGTGCATTTAAAAGGAACCCCGTCAAATGCTTTCAGATTCAGTGTTTCAAGTGTTCCCAGCTCATCAAGTCATGGCTCAGCTCAGTATGATTCTGATGCTTATGGGGATGTGTACGTGTGGGGTGAAATTATATGTAGCTCTTCCATAACTGCCACTGATAGTGATATTAAACATTTCAGTGCAAAAAATGATATTCTGCTTCCCAAGCCGCTGGACTCCAATGTTATTTTGGACATTCAACATGTTGCATGCGGGGTCAAGCATGCTGCATTTGTTACAAGACATGGAGAAGTATTTACATGGGGTGAAGAATGTGGTGGTCGAATTGGTCATGGAGTTGGGGCAGATGCCCTTCACCCCACTCTTGTCGAATCTTTATCAGCTTCCAAAATAGATTATGTTGCTTGTGGGGAATTTCATACATGTGCTGTTTCACTAAGTGGCGAACTTTATACATGGGGAGATGGTGCTCATAAGGCAGGGTTACTTGGTCATGGAACATATATTAGTCACTGGATACCTAAAAGAATTTCTGGACCTCTGGAAGGACTTCAAGTTGCATCTGTTTCATGTGGAACTTGGCATACAGCCTTGTTAACTACAGCAGGGCAGTTGTTCACATTTGGGGACGGTACTTTTGGTGCTTTGGGCCATGGAAACAGAGAGAGTGCTTTATATCCAAGGGAAGTAGATTCTTTGAGTGGATTGAAGACCATTGCTGTTTCATGTGGGGTCTGGCATACAGCTGCAGTTGTAGAGGTTATTGTAACACAATCTAGTGAATCCTCTGGTAAATTGTTTACATGGGGTGATGGGGACAAGTACTGTCTCGGAAATGGTGACAAGGAACCTTGCCTTAAGCCCACTTGTGTACCATCATTGATTGATTATAATTTTCATAAGGTAGCATGTGGTCATAGTCTTACAATTGGCTTGACTACTTCAGGCAATGTTTTTACGATGGGGAGCACTGTTTACGGTCAGCTTGGTAATACTCATTCTGATGGAAAGCTTCCATGCTTAGTTGAGGATAAGCTTGCCAATGAGTTTGTCAAAGAGGTTGCTTGTGGTTCCTATCATGTTGCTGTTTTGACGTCAAGGAACGAAGTTTATACATGGGGAAAGGGTGCCAATGGGCGATTAGGCCATGGCGACCTTGAAGATCGAAGGACTCCCATGCTTATTGAAGCTTTAAAGGATAGACCTGTGAAACACATTGCATGTGGGGGGAATTTCACAGCTGCCATATGTTATCATAAATGGGTCAGCACTGCAGAGCAATCTCTGTGTACAACTTGTAGACAACTATTTGGATTCACTCGCAAGAGGCATAACTGCTACAATTGTGGTCTCATACATTGCCATTCTTGCAGCTCTAAAAGGGCCTTGAGGGCTGCTTTGGCTCCTAACCCCAAAAAACTATACCGTGTTTGTGATTCCTGCTATGAGAAATTGAATAAACCGGTTAATTATGGAGAAATGTATGACAAGAAAATCACTTTACCTCGCTTGTCAGGTGATAGCAAAGACTATTCTGACAAAGCTGACTTCAAATTGCTCAAGACTGCTTCACTTAGCAAATTGGACTTACTTAAGATTCTGGATACTAAGGCAACTAAACAAGGAAAAAAATCTGATGCATTACCTTTGGTTCGTCCCCAAATACCATTACCTTCACTTCGCCCTCAATTTTCTTCATTATTACACTTCGGAGATGCTGCCTATTCTGCTGTGGTCGACATGCAACGAGCAAATCCCGGGTTAACCTACTTGTCAGCTGTTCAATCCAAAAATCATTCCAGAGCTATTTCTCCGTCTTTAAGAACGCATAGCCCACCACATTCTGCTGCGCCTGTCCGTGCCATGTCAGGCCTTTCATCCTTGAAAAGTATGGATGATAGTCCTACGAAAGCAAATGTGCTTCTAAACCAGGAAATTCAAAAGCTGCGTGGCCAGGTAAGAAAGTCAAGGTTGAGCTGTTAATATAAGCGCCATTCCTTTTGAAGAAATTATCTTATAATATGCTTGGAATCAGATTGATAGCTTAAGACAACGCAGTGAATTTCAAGAATATGAGTTACATAAATCAGCAAAGAAAGTTCAGGAAGCTATGGCAATTGCTGCAGAGGAATCTGCAAAGTCTAAAGCTGCAAAAGAAGTCATAAAAGCTCTCACTGCACAGGTGAAGTTTTAATCTCTTCCACTCCCCACTCCCCACTCCCCACTCCCCACTCCTGACTATCTCTTTATACCAATAAGGTCTGATGACCAAAATATGCGAAGAATTATTTTGTGAAAAACCTTACCCATTTCATTAACACTTATGCTTATATAGATCCTTACAACATTTACAAATAGAACTCAATATTAGATACAAATCTCAACACTCCCCCTCAAGATGGGCAGAAGATATCCACTAAGGCCATCTTGTCACACATCCTGAACAAATCTAATAAGCCAAGTCCTATGGTGAGGGAGTCGGCCACTATCTCTTTAGTGGCTACATGACTTAGCTTCAGTAGGCCGTTATGCAGTTTTTCCTTCATGATGAACCCATCAATCTCCACATGTTTGGTTTTATCATGTTGCACCAGGTTGTTGGCGATGCTGATCACTAACTTGTCGCACTACAACTTCATTTTAGTTCCTTGGTCCACCTTGAGCTCTACAAACAAGGCTTTCAGCCACATCATCTCAGCCACTTCTAAGGTTATGGTTCAATACTTTGCCTTTGTTGTTGACCTTGCTACTACTGATTGTTTCCTGCTCTTCCAAAAGACCAAGTTGCCTCCTACAAACATGCAGTATTCAGATGTGAACTTCTTGTCATCCATACAACTCGCCTAGTCAAAGTCACAATAGCCCTCAATCCTTACATGTCCATTCTTCCTGAAGATCAACCCCTCCCGTGGTATACTTTTTAAATACCTCAGAATCTGATATATTGCATCTATGTTACTCTTCCTTGTATCATACATGTAGCGACTCACCATACTTAACTACAAATGATATGTCGGGACGAGTGTGACTTAGATAGATGATAAGACTTCTAGTACCTCTCACGATCAACTGGTTATCCTCCCTCTGCGCTCAACTTTCTCTTCTAATCAATTGATGAAACAACAGGCTTACATCCCAACATGCATGTATCTTTGAGCAAGTCTAGCACGTGCTTCCTCAGAGATAGAAGGATCATCTCTGCTCCACGGGCCACCTCAATTCCAAGGAAGTATCTCACCTGTTCCAAGTCCCTCACCTCAAACTTTTTGCCCAAACTAGCCTTCAACTGAGCAATCTCTCCCTCACCATCCCTAATGACAATTATATCATTCGCATACCCATCAAGAATAGTAATGTGACCACCATGTCGTTGAAAGAAACCTGTGCAGCCGATGGGGTGCTAGACATGCTCCGCAACAATGCTAAAATCTTGACACACCATAATTATAAGTGCAGGGGTCTCACCCAAGTGTATGTATCGTATCAGTATTATCGGATTGAGTCTGGAATATCGATCCCATCGGTAGCGAGGCAGTTAGACTTAAGAGAAGTTATAGCCTACTAAAATTAGTTTTAGCCTGGATTGTCTCCTACAGAATTTCTACTAAATATATTTGAATTGATGATAATCAAGATATAAGCTACCATTCCTTGCAATGATATAAGTAGTGTGTAGGAAAAAGAATACTTAATTGTAATTGTGACTAATGACAAATATGAGCAATTATCTTATTTACCCTCTCCCAAGTGCAATGAAGAAATTTGGTTAAACTGGTTTTAATTCATTAAACCTCAATTTGAATCCATCAAAGATTATTTCTCTATCTATTTGAATCTTCCTATAGTTTACTTTTGTTTCATACTCTATAGTTCAACGTGAATATTCTAATTGTTCTTCCATAGCTCTTCTGAATCATTATGGATCACAACATATTGTAACAAATCACTTGGCCAGAATGAAAAGTAAATGATGCTTTGAAGAATATTCATCACATTAATGAGTGAAAACCAATTTTAAAAGCATTTTCTATTCTTACACAACTAACATAATCATTACTAGAGAAAGGTGAAAAGACTACTCACAAAGCATGGAAAAAACACTACAAAATATCATTAACATAAAGCAAATCTACTAGGTAATCGTGTTTTACAAAAGTACAATAAAAGAAATTCACAATACTTAGCTTCTTCCTTTTTACAATGCTCTGAAAATGCTCTTCTAGGATCTCCTAGACCCCTGCTGTTGTGCTGAATAATCTCATTACAAAACACCTCTCAAATCTTACCAAAATATCGAAGTAAACACCCTAATTCTCTCCTATTGCAAATGCTATTGTTCTCTTCACGAAAATCCTCCTTCAATTCTCTCTAAAGGACTGCTTTTAACCTTCAAATAACTCCCCACATCATGGGGAGAAACTGCTGAAAAACTGCCCAGCAGATGCTGATGCCTAGGCGTTAACCTCTCTATTTGTTCGGCTGTGTACTGGTGCCTAGGCGCCCAAGTAAGTGGTGACAAGACTTTTGGTAGGAGCGCCATGGTGCCCAATGGCTGGCGCTTAGGCGCCAGTCCCTTGGATCTACAATTGCTCCATATCAGCTCCGCTTCGCTCCATTTCTTCTCCACTTTGTTTCACTTTTACTGCATGTTATATCTACCAGAAAAACATAAAAATACCCTCTTTAAAGTGCAATTTTGTTCATAAAAATGTGCAAAATATAAATGAAATTAAGCATGTTTTTCTACACATCAAAATTTCTCAAACTTAAACGTTACTTGTTCTCAATTAACACTAGAAATTTAAAACCAAATCTATTAATTTGAGGAAGTGAGATTAATTAAAATTATGAACAACTCTACATCAAGAAAATTCATAGTATAACCTTTAATTAACTCTAGTAAATAAGTCTAGCTTTAGGGTAAAAGTAAACTTTTTATTATACTAAGAAAACTTAATTTTCTATTCAATTCACAAAGAAGTTAATAAATGTTAACGAAAGTAACTTAAATGGTGAAAAAATAGAATTTAAGCACTCATTTTAAAAAGAATTACAAATACACTTTTATTACACATAAGCTTAAGAATGTAATAATGCTTCAACTTTAAAAAGAATCTAATGAAACCAATTTTTGATTAAGCTTCTCCCCACGCAATGTTTTTCTTTTAATCACTTTTTTTCTTGCTTTAGAATGTATATTTAAATCCTTAGCATTATTTTTAGGGGGATTACTATGTCTGGATAGATCTTTAATTGTGTTGAATTCCGCTATCAATTCTCTAAAGTGATGTCTACCACACTCCTTCAAATTAATATGTAATAGTTAAAAGTATGACTTGAATAACGACTTAATTCATATGGAGTATATATCTAAGGATACCTTGTTAAAAAGGCATATAACTCTTTGCAAAAATAAATAGTGAAACCATTTTTCTACATGTTAAACTACAACCTTATACTATCCCAGTCTCATTTACATAGATTTTAAAATAAAAATACTATATATATTTTTTTCGTAAAATTGCAATAATTTCAAATTACACCACATACCTCAATTCCTTTTTAAACATAATAATTTAGGTGTATGTTAGTAAGGACAAATAAAGTTAAGATTTTTAAAATTTTTATCCCCTAACTTGATTTTTAATATATTAAGCAGTGTAAACCATGATTATAAGTAGAGAGAAAATAATGCATAAATACCTTCTACCATATTTGTCTATCAACAAAATTAACAAACATAAGCAGGAAATAACAAGTATGCAATAACAGGTAAATTACCACTAAATGGGATAAGAAGAAAATAAATGAAATTACACCAGAAAGATTTCACAATATTCTAATAGATAAGTAAAAGACTTGTCCAGAGCAATAACAAAAACTAATCTAGAGAGTATAATATTAGCATAAGCAAAATAAACATAGTGTCCAATACATCATAAACAAATAAATAAAAATACATCATTAGCAGCAGCAACAAAAAAAGAACATATAACACATTCACATCAAAATAAGAATAAATTAATCTTCATTCTCTTTTTCCTCATTGTTAGAGCCCTCTTCCTCCGAATCTACCTTCATCCGCCTTCTATGCTCATATATTTGGTAAGGTGGACAAACCGGGAACTCCACTGAGTTATCCCCACCAATCCATCAATTCATTCTATACATCTCCACTTGAGCAACATGAAAACAAGCGTCATGAATGACAACAACTTTATATATGCTTAAAAATACAAGTATTTGATACTGCTGCTAGAAGATTTAAACCCCCGACAACGGCGCCAAAAACTTGATAACGGTTATAGATTTGATAAAGATGCGTATAAAATATTCAATAATTGCAAATTCACACTTATCAATGCAAGTATACGTATCGCTCAAGTAATACATGGCTCTAATGGAGTCCTGGATATCGATCCCACAGGGAGTAATATTAGAGGCTACGAACTAAGATTTAAAAATTAAATATTTAATCACAACAATATAGTTCAAATTGCATATTTGTCACTAATAGACAATTGAAATAAAAATGTAATTTTAATAAACTCTTAATTAACTAATTCTACTAATAAAGTTTCTGATGTGAAGTTCAATATATAAGAAAACATCCTTCTCATTGTCAAGAAATTTAAGTGAATAGATAAATTGAATTAGTTCAAATTGTATTGTTCCAAATAGGAGCATACCTATTTTTTACCCTTTGGACCATGCATAAAGAACATTGACTAATCCTATGCTTGGTTACTGAATCTGCGGCTAGGTTAGGAGGATACCGGCTCTCACTTCGGAGCTCCCATGTTTCCCTCGCCTGAGGGCTAACATCTACACTTCAACACCCAAACGATAGGACCGAATTGAGGAATTTAGTCTGTTACTCTAAAATCTACAATTCTACGCCCGATAATTTTTATTTCCCTATTTATTTGCACCCAACTTTCAAGGACTTTGACCTCCCTAAATCTTGGATGTAATCTTCGCTTTAGTTGTAAAACTCAACATATTTTAAGAAATCAATTGACCAGATTGAAATTAAATTAAGATTGAAGTGAAAAGATTATCACAACTTCTTTAACATTCTCATGACAACCAATTCAAATCACCATTTCACAAAATCTCAAGATAAGGAGAAAGACAGAGAAAACTACTTCAAACTCATGGAGAAGATACGACAAAACTTGG